AAAAAGAGAAAAAAAATCCTGAGACTGGCAACTTTGAAAACATAGCAAGTCATTTATTTTCTTCATTCTTTGTGTCTAAATTTTTTTTTATTGGAGAATTGTTACTTGTAATAACAAAAACGGTAAAATAAAACTCAAGTGTCACTAACACGTATTATATCAATTCTTGTTGCAGACAGAGGTTTGACTTGTTAATAAATCTGTGCTCATGCATAATTTATTGCGTATTATCTGAAGCAATGTAAGCTGTTCTCTTGTTTGCCCACGGGAAAGAGAAAAAAACATTTCCTACTTCATTGTTAAATTATGCTCCTGATTTTCTCATCAGAACGCTTGACAGCTAATAACTGCGGCTATTCACAGACACATGAATTTACTATACTAATATCTAATGTCCTAAATGTAGGACATTTGTAGTATAAGAGGAATGACAAGTTAATGAGTTTTTTCTTCTTAGCTGGTGTTACATCCAATAAATAACAACTTTTGTACACTGCAGAACACATAGTAGGCACATGATACTATGTCAGTCTTCTTGTCATTGTGGCAAAATACTTGGCATACACAATGGAGGAAAGGAGAACAGATTTATTTAGGCTCATACTTTTAAAGGTCCACCATGGTAGAAGGAGATGTTAGAGCAGAATAGTTCCAATCACAGTGGCAATGAAGCAAAAATAAACCGTCTGTGCGTGTACGGGCTGACTCTCTATATTTCTCCATTTTATTTCTATTGCATCCAACAGTGTCCCGAGTAGTCCCACTCACATTCATGTCTTAGTTAATTTTCTCAGCACATATCCTCACATGCACACCCAGATCCTTCTCAGTCCAGTCAAGGTATCAAAACAAGATTAACTGTCACAGGTAGTTATTAGCCTGGAGAAATAACATTCTTTATATTTCAATCTGGGATTTGTACTCTACTACATAGTATTTCATTCCAAAAATACTTTTGCAGCGTAGGTTTAATGTAAGGTATAGCATTAGAGTGATTGAGCAAATAGTGAAAGAATACAGACAAAATCTCTATATACACAGAGATTATCAGAAATTAAAACTCTTAAGCTATGATGAAAGGTGATGAAAGGCAAAGCTAGCACACAGTCAAGTTTTGCTTATTCCATGAGCTAACAATAATTTTTATATGGAAATGACTAGAAACATGTAAAACAATATTTCATGACATTTGAAGAACATATGAAATAGAAGTTGAGAAGCCATAACTAAAATTTTATTTCTTCAAGTATTTACAGAATATTTTAATTGAATGATTATGAAAACTGAAACTTCAGATGTTAATGGAAGGCATGGTATTCCTATCTCTTACACTTTATTAACAATTATACTAATACCTCTAAGGAAGCCCTGAGTGAATGAAATACTGAATAACTCTGTGCTCCTAGCTTCAAATCTTCAGATTTTAGTACCTAAACTGGAGTAACTACAGAAATGAGGAACATGAAAACGAGACCACTGCCAGGAACAGAGTGGAGTTGTGGGATACAAGGGATCTCATAGGGGAATGGGAAAAATAGAAGGCTATAATTATGGAGGGGGAGGGAGATAAATATAGAACTAAAAATGGTAAAGTAGTAGTAAGGATATCTAAAATAGTCATAAAAATCATATTACTAACTACCTGAAAAGCCTTCTAATATTTATAATTCTTTGTATAAATATGCATATAAGGTAAAATGAAATTTTCTTAAGTGGGTTAACAATGTTCCCTCCAAGCCAAAGACTATTTAGCAAATACCATACATGAGAAACTCTGTGTTAAGCTGTTTGTCAGGGTGGCTCAAAAGACTTGCCCAAACTGTTCCAGGCTATTAATCTTGATAATAGTTGCCCTCAGGGGTCGAATGCAAGCCCCTATTACTGAAGACACCATGTACTTCAGAAACTTTGTGGCCCATGAGATGGGACTGACCTGAATGCCTCCTCCATGAGAACTAGCTTTCATGGTATCAGAAGGTGTACAAACTTCCAAAGAAGAGGAAACCAGCAGTCCAAACTAGTAGTTATACCTTTGAAGCCCAATTGCCAGTATCGTATGATAACCTTAAGGGTACAGTAGTAGCAGGTAAACCTTGTCAGTAACCAACAACTCTCTAATTAGACTTAAGATCAACAAGAGAAAAATCATGCTTGGTACTGGAAACCTATGCAAGTATCCAAGGCTAGTGAAGGTATAGATTTTGAAGGAGCACCAACAACTACCAGTTTACTAGACCACGATAATCCCTAAACTACTTTATTATGCTCACAGATAAGTGTAGTCCTCACTCTTTATCATGGAAACTTCCCTTGGCAATAGATGAAGAGCATTTAAGAAAACCACAGCCAATCAAATACAGACTTGTGAGGCCAAGTTCCAAATGATAAATTTCCAAAACAGCTCCTGTAACTAAGACTCAGGGATCATTGTGAAAGAGGGGGCATACAGATTATCAAAGCTGGAGGGTCGGAGAGGTTTTTATGAGACTCTGTCTCCTAGGTATGTAAGACACCCATGAAGTCTTACGAACATGATTCCCTAAACACGGGCTGAATAAAGACAAAAATAATAGATATGGCCCATAGGGCCTCGGATGCAGAGAGAACTACTGGCACCTAAGGAGTGTCTTAAGCTGGACAAATAGCTGGAACTAGGGAAGAACACATCAATTGGTTACCCAGTACCAAATGGTCAGCCTGAAAACGCACAAGTAACATTATATGGTTCAAACAGGTTGTATTTATAAATTTAGGAATATATATATATAATTTAAAAAGAAGTCATAAGTTTGGAAGAAAGCTAGGAGGGGTGTGTAAGTGAATTTGATAGGAAGAAAAGGGAGGGAGAAATTATTTATTTTTATTATAATCTTAAAAATTAAGAACTTTCAATCAATAAGACAAAAAATACCAAAACAACAAAAAGTGTATAAAAGAAACATGGAGTCCTTTTTGTTTTGACCAATTATTGCTAGACATGGGATGGTCACTGTAGTGAAGTTGACACTCCACTGGAGAAAATTGATTTTCCTTTTTTCCTGCAGATCAATTGCAATTAGCTTCCTGGTTAGGGTGGTATTTTGTTTCTGCTTCTTCTCAGTGTTTTGATTGTGTGTGGTTTGAATCTGTGCAAACCTTTTGCATGCTATCACAGCTTCTGTTGGTTCATATGTGTTTCAGTCCTGTTGTGTCTGCATTGGTGAGGTTCTCAATTCCAATGACAACTTTGGTATTATTTTCCTGAGAAGCCATTTCCCCTGATATATATGCCTATTATTAGAGCATTCAACTTCTCATAGTCATTTTTGAACCAATTAGTAGTGGGAGCTTGTTTCAGATACTGGGGACTAATTAAGACCTTGGAATTTTGCTCTCTATTCAGATTTGGTAGACAGTGTATGGGTTCGTTAAGAAGTTGGTGTAACGTGGGGCCAAAGGAGAACTGGTGCTCTGGAATTAATCATTCTTCTATGAGGATTTTGCCATGGACAGGTTTTGCATACTTCAGTGGATGGCAAAGCATCCATGCACATCTGAATGGCACTAAATGGACATAATGAGTTCTTAAAAAATGAATAAGAAAACATGAATTTGAAAGAGGGACATGTGGTGAGAGGCTCTTAGGGAGATTGAAGGGGTAAAATAGGTAGTATCATACCTCAGAATAATAAATAATAAAGTAAAATAAATTATATAAAATATAGACAAAACCTTAGGGGGAGAATATCTGAGTGAGGCCAACTCTGGATTCCAGAAGTTAGAAGTCTCATACTATTTGGAAACTTAGCTACTTTCTGAAATAGAATAGTTTGAATTTCAGAAATATAAAACAAAGATACAAACTAAATACATTCATACGTGTGTGTGTGTGTGTGTGTGTGTGTGTGTGTGTGTGTATGTATGTGTAGATCAGCAGGTAGCATTGCCCTAGGTAAATGATTTGCCTCCACCACACATGCTGAGAATGTTTCTTCCTTCCAGTGGAAGGGAAAGAGCTATTCAGATAGGCTTGACTTCAGGGTATAAAGAAGGAAGAAAAGGAACATGATATGTCAATATTAATAGAGAAACGGCCCAATATGGTGACTCATAGGTCAGTGGAAGTTTGACTCAAATGTCAGACTTAATGTATTTTACCATGTTATTCTTTTTCTGTCTTGATATTTCAAATTTATGTACTTCCATGAACTTTGTCATTATTTTAGAAATAGCACATATTCATTTTTAAACATTTGATGAATATGGAATTGCAAACATGAATAAATAAGCAATAATTCCATGGTTTTATAATTATTTTACTGTTTCTACCTTTTATACTTGAGTATACTTTTAAAGGATCATAGAGCGGTGGTGTCAGAGTGTGAGTGAATATATAAATTCGAGGGTATATGGTTGGTTTTGTACCATGGTTTCTCTTTTTTACTATGAACATTTTCCTAAATAAGAGGTTTGTGAGGATGAATTTTTTTCTAATAACAAGATATCACTTCACCCAGCCAATTTTTATTATATGTCTGATACTTTGCTAGTTACACAGAGATAGATTACAATTGTAAACAGGATAAAGCCAGTTCAGATTTCTTGACAATTATGACATTTGGACACAGTCTCACAAATATTTTTGGAATTAAGAGACGCTCTTGGTAGGTTCTTATTAGACACAGCATTATGCTTAAAATAAGCATTGTTTGTGATTTGTCGAACATTGCTTTTGATTTTTCTAGCTGGAATTAGGAAAATAGAAAGGTGATGACAAGAGATGACAGTTCAAAATCCAAACAACAGAAAACTCAAAGGATTCTCATTTTATAACCTAAGAGACTCTATATCTAACACAGTTAAGGATTACTAAACCATGGAACAAGCATATTAGATAATGGACATGTAAATTTCCCTCCTAAATATAGGGAAGACTATAGAGTTTAATTCCCTCATAAAAGCATAACCAGCATGTCCAGAGACACTCATGCATTTTCTTTTTTTTTTTTTTTTTTTTTTTTTGTGGCTGACTTTTATTCTCACAGGCAATGAATTCATGGGACCGACATGGGGCTACTGTGAGTTGAACTCAGTGCCGAGGCGACTCTCGTCCTGAGGAGGGCTGTGGCATCCTGAACTTGGAGAGGTCCAGGTTCAGGTCCAGGAAGGTGTATGTATTGTAGTCATGATGCTGCAGGTTCTTGTAGGTAGTGGCATCCGTCGGCTCAGGGGCCAGAGTGGGCTCTTTGGGTGCACTTTGCTTCTTGGGATTTGGTTTTATTCCCTTTCCAATCTTCCCTGACTCTGTAGAGAGGGACACCGTAGAAGACAGTTCTCGGAACACCCTTGCCTCCAGGAATGCAGCCTTCAGCGCCCGGATTCGTCCTCCCCGAAGCAGGAGAGAGACCGCCATGGTACAGACGCTGCTCGCTGAGGTCGCCCCCTCATGCATTTTCTAAGGCATTTCATCTTCCATTATAACTGAGTTCCTGGTACTGAGAGATTTTTTTACAGAAAGATAGTTATACATAGGAAAATTACTGACTGTTAAGATTACAAATATGAAGCAGTAGTGGCACATGCCTTTAATCCCAGCCCTAGTGACAAAGAGCCAGGTGGATCTCTGCAAGCTCAAGATCAGTCTGGTCTACAGAGTGAATTCCAGAACAGCCAGAATGGTTATAGAAAGAAACCCTGTATCAGAAAAAAAAAAAAATCAAAGCCAAACCAAACCAAACCAAACCAATAGATTACAATTAAGCAATGTTCCATTGTTTTTTTTTCTTTTTTTTAAGTTTGGAAGTTTCATCTACTATGATTACCTTTTTCGAAAAGACATAATCTCAGCAAAAAATAAAATTAATTATGATTAAAGAAATGTGGATTGGTGTTGGGCACTCTTTTCTCTCTTTCTTGCTCAGATCATCAATTATTTGATTAACATATGATTCACCTGAGGTCTCAGACCTTGGAATGTTGGATCTACCCCCATACACTCAATTTTAATATCCAGTAGAAACGTATACTAATTTCCCTTGCCTGTTGTTACCTGCTGTCTTGGTTTGGGTTCTCAAAAATATAAATTAAGGGTTTGCAGAAATTGTTCTGCTCCTCTAGAATACTCAGGTTTGATTCTCAGCACCCATGTGGGGTATCTCACAAAAAGCTGTGACTCCAACTCCAGGCAAGGGAATGCGATATCACTGGTCAACATGCACACACACACACACACACACACACACACACACACACACACACACACACACACACGCTCACACACGCACACACACACTTGCATACATACACACAATTTAAGATAAAATAAGATCCTTTTTCTTTTTTTAAAAAAGGCACAAGCGAAGCAAAGATTTGATTAGAAGTAATTTCTTTGGAAAGTAAACAAAAAGAACTGTGAAGAAAAGGAAGCACTTCTAGTGCACAGCATAGCAAATAGGTTCAATGAGGCTGCTGGGAGCTTCTAGCTAATGCCTCAGATATTTATCTATCAACTCCTTAGTAATCACCCATGGAGGATCCAAAGAGTATTATCTCCCTGACACTATCAACCACCTCCTAGCAGATGCCCTTGATCAGGGAAAGGTTGTGCTTTGTGTGATTTCTCTGCTACAGAGAATGCTAGAGGGGTATGGTCAGGTACCAACACTGGCTAAGTGAGGGTTCGTAAGCAAAGTCACTAACTGTATTGAGACCATATAGAGACCATTTCTTTGTGAAACGCTACAATTAGGTGGAAATTTAGAGGTTTCAAAATAAGATGATTTCCGGTGTGCCCCTCCTCCTGCCACCTCGCAGAAATTTCAAAAGGCATTCTAGAGATACTTTTTGATCTCTTATTCAGGAAGAACTTGGCACATCCACTGGGGTTTGGGAACAAGAGTAAAAATTAAGAAGGTCTCTAGATGTTAAAAGGTATCAGGACTGAATATGTCAGATTTTGCCATTTCTGGAAATTTAAAAAATAACATTGAGAAATTCATCACTTGTGGCATTTAGGAACTGTCAAAAAACATTTGTCAGAAACTTTGAATTTTTCCTTATTCTTATAAGCTAAAATTAATCACCACTGAATAAATCACAAAGGCTCCTGGAGCTTCCGTTTAGAAACTTTCCAAAGATATGATGGAAAATGTTTCCTTCTTTGTTTTATTTGAACTTCTGATACTTATTTGCTTATAATATAGCTCTAGCCATGAATTCTGTGTATCTACATCCTTAGAGACAGCTATATTATCATAATAAGGAATAACAGGATCAACATTTTAAAATTTTTATCCTGTGATAAATAGTTATTCTTTCATCTCAGAGAGATTTGCTGAACCTCTGTATGTTTGACAGAAATATAGGTTCAAGGTGCAAAGATCAGGGAGATACTTGCTTGTCCTCAATGAGCTCATAGTACCATAGCCATTAAATCTGGATATATTGTGAGAAATGGGGAACAGGATTAGCCATTGTTACAGAATCAAACCAGGGGTTTAAAAAAACGAAATCCAAGTTAGGTATACAAAATTAAACAAGTCTCTATATCAAAAGAAATTCTTTGTGTGAATTTACATAAAAGTAATACCAAGAGAACTATAGGAATGTGTGTGACAGTTGTGTAGCTTGGTCCGTTGTGGGGCTCCTAGCAGTGGGATCAGGACCTGTTCCTGGCACACTTAGCTGGCTTTGGGAACCTGTTGTGTTGTGTGAGCTCCTTCAGACAATAGCCTTTAAGATACCAGCCCACATGGGTTTGGTATCTTATACTATAAATGCCAAGGTAAAGTGTACTTCTCTCTCCCTTCCAGCTGCTGGATTTGGTTCCTGTTTCCCATTCAGTCAGTGGACTGTGATCTGTAAGTCTACCACTAAATAAATAACCTTTTATTATACTCAATTTTGAGCTAGTGTGGGATTTCTTTTTAGCTTCCATCTTCAGTTCCCATTCTAGATTATTTTACCATCTATTTTTAAATTGATTTTTATTGAGCTCTACATTTTTCTCTGCTCCCCTCCCTGCCTCTCCCCTCTCCCTTGAACCCTCTCTCAAGGTCCTCATGCTCCAAATTTATTCTGGAGATCTTGTCTTTTTTCTACTTCCCATGTCGAATAGATCTATATAAGTCTCTCTTAGTGTCCTTATTGTTGTCTAAGTTCTCTGGGTTTGCAGTTTGTAGGTTGGTTTTCTTTGCTTTATGTTTAAAAACAATCTGTGAGTGAGTACATGTGATAATTGTCTTTCTGTGTCTGGGTTAGCTCATGTAAAATAATGTTTTCTAGCTCCATCCATTTTCCTGCAAAATTCAAGATGTCATTTTTTTTGTGCTGTGTAGTATTCCATTGTGTACCATATATTCTTTATCCATATTTTGGTCAAAGGTCATTTAGGTTCTGGCTATGACAAACAATGCTGTTATGAACATAGTAGAGCACATATCCTTGTGGTACAATTGAACATCCTTTCGATGGAATATTCTATAGATGTCTGTTAAGTCCATTTGAGTAATAACATCTGTTAGTTGCCTTATTTCTCTGTTCATTTTTTGTCTGACTGACCTGTCCAGTGGTGAGAATGGAGTGTTAAAGTCTCCCACTATTAGTGTGTGAGATTTAATATATGACTTAAGCTTTAGAAGTGTTTCTTTCACATATGAGGGTGCCCTGTATTTGGGGCATAGGTGTTCAGTATTGAGATTTCCTCTTAATGGAGTTTTCTTGTGATTAATATGAAATAACCGTCTTTGTCTCTTTTGATTGATTTTAGCTTGAAATATTTTGTTAGATATTAGGATTGCTACTTTCGCTTGTTTCTTGGGTTCATTTGATTATAATAATTTTCCCCAACCCTTTACTCTGAGATGATGTCTGTCTTTCAGGTTGAGATGTGTTTTTTGTATGCAGAAGGACCGATTCTGTTTTTTTTTTTATCCATTCTGTTAACCTGTGCCTTTTATAGGTGAGTTAAGTCCATTTATATTAATGGATACCAGTGATAGCTATCTCCTGTTAATTTAGTTTTCATTGTTGGTGACGTTAATTTGTGTGTTTTCCCTTCTTTAGAGTTTGCTGCTATAAGACCATCAATTGTCTGTGTTTTTGTTGGTGTAGCCAACTTCCTTGGGTTGGAGTTTTCCTTCTAGTATTTTGTGTAGGGCTGGATTTGTGGCTAGGCATTGGTGAAATCTGGTTTTGTCATGGAATATCTTGTTTTGTCCTTCTATGGTGATTGGAAGTTTTGCTGGGTATAGTAGTCTGGGCTGGCATCCCTGGTCTCTTAATGTCTGCATAATGCTTGACCACGACCTTCTGGCTTTTATTGTCTCCAATGAGAGGTCAGCCAAGCAACATATAAAGGTAGACCTATCAGAATTATATCTCACCCAGTCTTGATGTAGGGGAGGAGCTTGGTCCTACCTCAGCCTGATTTGTCATGCTTTGTTCATGTCCATGGAAAGCCTGCTCCTTCCTGAAAGTAGACAGAGGAGGGGTGGATGGGGAGAGAGGTAGATTAAAAGGGGACAGGAAAGGGAAGAGAGTATGGAGGAGAAACTGTGTTTTGGAGGGAAAATAAATTTAAAAAAATAATAATATATCATAGGGATGAACCTGACCTAGAAACAAATATTCATTCCTCATTCTTTCCAAGTCTTTATTAATTATTTTCCTATAAAAACTGTTCATCATAATACCAATGATTTCAGCTGTGACTGGGATATGAGTCCCACCATTTAATTATTAAGTCAGTCTTGTTGAAGACTCTATAGCAGGTATACATGAAGTAAATTCTAGACATGTGATATCTTGTTCTTAAACTTTGTTTATTCATCTTGTAAAGTTCAGGTTTTGTTTACTATATAGATATAGATATGGGTATTAATATAGATAGATATCAATGTCTATATACATATAAACCCCTCTCTGTATATAGATACATTGATATGACTGTACATACATGCATATGTACATACACACACATATATATACACACCACACACATACAGTTGCTGGATCCACATGAAAATGACTAAATACCCAACATTATCTCTGACCCATTTAACATATAGCACACACCATAATATACTCATATTGACAAGAATAAGAATGATAGAAAATAACATTTATTTATAGCCACTATACGGCAGATAGTAGGTTAAACTTGCACTTAATTCTCATCCTGCAATAAAAATATTCTTAATACCTCTATTATATATGTGCCAACTTAAATATGCCATAGCCTTATGAGGGAATAACCAGTCTCAAATCTTAAAGTCCTTTAAATCATGATCTAAACTGCTGACCCATACAATTCAGAGTTCTTTTTAGACACTGTATACAAGAGAGACTAGTGATATTAAACCTCTTGGGTATACTTAATAAAGTCCAGATTTGTGCTGCCTTCTACAAGTCTATGTT